TCTCTCTCTCTCTCTCTCTCTCTCTTTCTCTGTCTCTTTCTCTCTCTCTCTCTCTCTCTCTCTCTCTCTCTCTCTCTCTCTCTCTTTCTCTCTCTCTCATTTTGAAACAAGGTTTCACTATGCATTTCAGGCTAACCTTGAACTCTCTTTGTAGAACAGGCTGGCCTCAAACTGGCAGTGATCCTCCTACCTCAGGCTCCCAACGGCTGGGAGTACAGGCATGTGCCACCACACCCAGCTTCATGTATTAGTTTCAAGGACAAAGCTAATAGGCTCTACCACAAACAGGTAGTCTCAGGCCTCTTATCAGAAGCTAATGCCAAGAGGGCTCTATGTGCTGGGTGTGTTTGCAGCCTTTGATCTTCTGAACCAATGACTCCTGGTGTGGGATCAGATGATTCCTCCAACCCTTGCCCAGTGCAATCTGCCCGAAAGATATCCTCAGTACCTTAGCACCATGGCTCATCCTGAGCAGCTTCCTTTCTTATCTATTATTGATTTTACTTTTCAAGGAAACCAGTATTTCCAGACTGGAAGATCTGCCCAACAGCACCTATGGCTTCCACTTAAAGATTTTGGCTTGGATTTATCTTCATTCAGTATCAATGAGGAGCCATAAGATGGCACAGGGCTAGGGCCCACTCTTCTCTGACCCATTTAAACTTGGGTCCTCAACAAGACCACCAAGGACATAGTGTCTTCTGCACTGTGTCCAGAACTGTGCCTAAGAATATAGGTGTGCACTCATCCTTGGTGTAAATCTAAATGGTCACAAACTCAGGCCTTTCTGCTCCCTGGTTCCCCCTCCTGACTTGGGGGACACCACTACATGGAAGAGCTTCCTCTTCCAGGTACAGCATTGCAGATACAACCTGTCCCCAGCAGACACATTGCAGCAGCAGGCTTTGTCCTGTGCTGTGATGAGCCTCAGAGGTCAGTGTGTGGAAGGCACAGTGAATTACATGGCCAGGATGGCCAGCTGGAAAGGTATCCTGTGTAAGCTGGGAGAGAGGTGTATCTCTTACATGGAAAGATGTTGTTAACCTGCCCTGTCTGTTGTCTGTCAGTGTCTGGTTTCCTGTCCTCAGCGGTACCAGGTGACATCAGATATGTTGATCCCGTGGATCTGATGGGGAAGGGAGCCTTAGCTCCCTAGGAAATTTTGAGATATTTAACTTTTTCATACAAACTATGGTCCAGTTCTGCTGCATTCTGCAGGGGAAGAAACTGTGACAGCAGGACGGTGGTGCCCAGGAGATGGCATCTCTTAGAGTTGACAACACAGGGGAACTGTGGGCCTTATTTAACAACTGCCTGCATCCTGAGGCCCAGGGAGGAACAAGGCTTCCCCAGAGATGCACAGCAGTGGTCTGAGGTAGAGCAGCATTAACAAACACAATGCCCATCATCAGTTTCAACAGCTATCAGCACTTGGAGAACTGAGCTTTATCTCAACATTTCTGTGACAGTCAACTGCTTCCTCCCTTTTAGCCTCAGACAGACCAGGCTTTTTATGGACAGTGACAGCTTGGCGCCTCTCTTCTAGCACTTCTCACCATAACACTCCCTGTATGGAGGATGCTTTCTTTATGTCTGCCCACTTCGAGTGTGAGGTCCCCAAGGAAGGACTTTTCAGTCAATTTCTAGTCCTCCCAGTGCCTCACAGACAAGGCACCATGAGTGCAAATTCTGTTCTCACCAGGTCAGCATGTGAAACACTTTGCTGGGCAGTTCTAGGGCTCAGTGCTGGTTTTAAACCCCAATGCGCATCAGTGGGTCTCGTGGGAGGTGCTGAGGCCAGACGCAGTGTCAGCACTATTTGGACAGGGGATAGTGTGTCCGCTTGGGACATGTATAAGGACAGTGTCTGTGGATCAGGGTCCTTTGATACTGCTGAGCTGAGGATGGTAAGGAGATGACAACATTTGTGGTGCAGGAGGGAGCTGCAGCAGTGACTCAACTCTCATGTGCATCTTTCTAACCTCAGCCCAGGATCCTGCCAGCCCCATCCGGAACACAAGCACAGGGCAGGTGCGGGGCAGCCTCATCCAAGTGAGTGGCACCGGTGTGGGGGTCCACTCCTTCCTGGGAATTCCGTTTGCCAAGCCACCTGTTGGACCACTACGTTTTGCAGCCCCTGAGGCCCCTGAGCCCTGGAGTGGTGTGAGGAACGGGACCTCCTACCCTGCCATGTAAGCTGTCTGGGGAGCTGAGCAAACTGCAGGCACTGGAGAGAGTTCAGATGCTCTGAGCTCTGGCTAGTGTGCAGTGATTCTAAACAATACACCAGGTTTTTTTTTTCTGCCTTGGTGGATTTCCCCAATGAATGTGTGAGCCTGAAGAGTGTGGAGAAATTTTGAAAGGTCTTGGCGATAGGCCTGGGAGTGTAAGGGCACTAGCTCCAGTTCCAGAAGAAAGGAGTAGAGACCTGTTTCTTCCCTGATTTGTGTTATGACTAGTGTTCTATGCCACCAGGTAAGGTGACTCTGGAACAGGGTCAGGTTGGTTCTGTGGACTTTTAAAAAAGTCTGACTGAAGCATCAGCTGCAGCTAATGCCTGAGGAAGGACTCAGTGGTGGTCCTTGGAGTCCCTACTCCACACTCACTGTGCCTGTTGATGGGACCAGGTGCGGACGGCCAAGGAACAAGTCTATGATGTTACAAGTGGAGACTCTGGGTGGGATGAGTTTCTCTGACAGTCTAGTCTTGGGATGAAGTACATATCAGTACTCTTCCTTGAAAAATCAAACCTCCATTTCCACCTGCAACTCCTGTGTGTGGACTCCTCCCCTGTTCCAGAACCAGATGATCATAGAGACCAATGGTGAATGTCAACACCTACAGCCACTGGTTCCCATAGAAATACCTAATAGTCATGATTTTCTAGCCTCAGGATGAGTGGGATCCAACGCTCCATCAAACTTGAGGCCTCCTGGAATTCTGAGCTCCCTCCTGTGTTCCTCTGAGTCTGTGGCCTGTGCTTTGATGGACAGGGACTTGGGAGAAAGATCATTGTGAACAGGACATTTTGGGGAGCAGGACACTGAGTGCTGGTACAAAATCTGGTCCCAGAGTCTGGTTTTGAGAACTTCACAACTCCTTGACTAATTACTATTTTCACCAGGTGTCTGCAAAATGCTAGTATTGTGAATGCACGAGTGCAGATGCTGCTAGATGTGACTGTGCCTTCCATCGCCATGTCTGAGGACTGCTTGTACCTGAACATCTATACTCCAGCCAATGCCCATGAGGATTCTAAACTGCCTGTGAGTGTCAGGGTATGGTCACCTGGGAAATGGGAAAAATTTTCTCCTCCAAGACTAGAAGTGGGCTAATCATATGGATCAGTGACACATCCCTTTCCTAGTAAGGGCAGAGCTCCAAGTAAAAGGCTCAGCATCACAGACACACAATGCACAGTGACACACACTGACACACATTGACACACACCTACACACTCCCACCAGAAGGAGAAAAAGATTAGAATGAACAGGATGAGCCTGGATTCTGCTACAGTGCAACCACTGATGAGAGGCTTCTCCCTATGGGGTCCAAAACATTCTTCTTATTTAGTATAGCAGACAGTTGACCCCTCGGGCAAAGGCACCCTGGGTGTTACTAGGGATCAGTTTTGTGAACAGGAGAACATTTTGTGTGCCCAAACATTGTAGCTTTAGATCACCAAAGTCTTCAACTATGTTTTAAATGTTGTGTTAGTGGGGTTATGTAACATTTTTGATTAATGTTCAGGTGAGACAGTGAAAGGAAGGCCCTGTACTTTCCACTTCAGAAAGATCTGAGAATAACAGCCAGGCTTATATCCATGAGGTAAATAGTAAAATCTGAAAGCCCTGGTCCACTGAATTGAAGTTGGGACTAACACCCTTGGTTCAGATGATGAGGTAATACTTAAAGCAGTGGATAATCTGTGTGTAGCTCAGGCGAATGTGGGCTAGGTAAGACCCATGTGCTATTTGTCTTGATTTCCCCAGGTGATGGTATGGATCCATGGTGGTGCACTAGTTGCGGGCATGGCTTCTACACACGATGGATCCATTCTGACGGCTTCTGAGAATGTGGTGGTGGTCACAATCCAGTATCGCCTGGGTGTCCTGGGTTTCTTCAGGTGAGTGCAGCTTGAGTGGGAGATGGGATTGGAGTATACCTCAGACCAGCCCATAATCCCTGTCCCTGCCACCTCTAGCACTGGAGACCAGCACGCCCCTGGCAATTGGGGCTACCTGGACCAAGTGGCTGCCCTACGCTGGGTGCAACAGAATATCGCCCACTTCGGAGGCAACCCTGACCGTGTCACCATTTTTGGAGAGTCTGCGGGTGCAACAAGTGTGTCCTCCCTTGTTATTTCCCCAAAGTCCCAAGGACTCTTCCACGGAGCCATCATGGAAAGTGGGGTGGCTGTGCTTCCAGGCCTCTTCTCCAATTCATCTGAGGCTGTCAGTACAGTGAGTGTCTTCAACCTTCCCAGCCCAGGCTGTCTCCCTTTACGCTCACCTCTAAAGCCTCTGGTGCTCTGTTTCTCCCATGGGGACAATAAGGAATTTTGAGGTGCCTTAAGATCTGCTGGTTTCCACATATTGCTGAGGGCTCAAGGGACAGAATTCACACAGCTGTGCTTCACCCATGCTGAGTACAATCTGTGCCTGCAAACTTGTACCCATGGAAATTATTATGGCTATAACCATGTCATTAAGAAGGATGGCCCCTCTGGCCAGACTTTTGAGAAACAGGGAAGTTGGAACAACTTCACCCATGCAACCATTCACACAGGGTATCCTGGGAAATTTGGGGGTCATTTGGACTCAACATGTTCCTTGAGCACAATCCTTTCCCTGCCTGAGAGAATGAGCCAGCCTTCTCCATCCATTTGCAGAAAGTGGCCAACCTGTCTGGCTGTGGGCAGGTGGACTCAGAGGCCCTGGTGAGGTGTCTGCGGGGCAAGAGTGAAGAGGAAATGCTGGCTATTACCAAGGTCAGGCAGAGGGTTCTCAGGTGTGGAGGAGGGCGGTCAAGGTCAGTGGGAGAGTCAGTCCCACCTGCTCTGTACTAGCTGCCTTCTTTCCCTGTCTTGGTATCCTCACAGCCCTGGATGGGAAATGAGGGCCTAGACATGGTAAGCCCATCAAGGGTTAGCTCAGAATGGGCGTGACCATCCTGGGATGAGTTAGAAAAGAGTAGAAGTAACTCACTGAGCATGAGAAAATGTGTGAGATCTGACCTTGATCACTCATCTTTAATGCCCCTTTAGACCTTCAAGATCATCGCTGGTGTAGTGGATGGGGTCTTCCTGCCCAGGCACCCACAGGAGCTGCTGGCCTCTGCTGATTTTCGACCTGTCCCTAGTATCATTGGTGTCAACAATGATGAGTGTGGCTGGATTCTTGCCACGGTGAGGTCCAGTAGTCTGGGGAGTCCATCAGGGTGCGGGGGTTCTTAGGTCTACACTGACGCAGGTCTGTCCCACATAAAACTTTGTGCTTCATCCTTCTAACACCTAGTACCTGGAATTCCCTGGAAATGAGAGTGAAATGGACCGAATGACTGTACAGGCTGCACTGCAAAGCGTGGCAGCACAGATGGTGAGCCTCCTGTCTTCCTGCTCCAATGCAGATTACTGCCACTGACCCCCACAAACAAAGCTGAAGTGTCCATGAGTGAGGTTACCCCTCAGCCTGATCATTTCTAACATTCCCTGTCCTAATCCAGGCTCCATCTCCCCACACTGAGCTGGTGCCCATCTCCTCTTCCCTGGTGCCCACCTAACCTGACTCTCCATGCTCCCCCTGAGCTAGATGTTGCCTGTTAAGTTTGCTGACCTGGTGATGCAAGAATACATGGGAGACAATAAGGACCCCCACACCCTGAAACTTCAGTTCCTGGAGATGATGGCAGACTTCATGTTCGTGATCCCTGGGCTTCAAGTAGCACACAGTCAGCGTGAGTACACTTGCAATTGAGGCCTCACTGCCTAGGGGACAGCTCAGATTCACGAGTTCAGCTCTGGTCCCTTGTTTTTATCAAGCTGCTGGTGCCAGCCAGTTGAGGTCCCTCGCCTCTGTAAATCTTCACATTGATATCTGAGCAGAGAAAAACGCTGGAGGTTTCACATTTTCCTATTTCAAAATATGCTTTGAAACCATAGTTACAATAATAGCATAGTATTAGATAAAAACAGACACAGATCAGTGGAATAGAAAGGAAGACACAGAAATAGCCCCATCAAACTACATCCATTTGATGCTTGAGAATGGAGTTAAGAGCATATGTTAGGGGAAAAGTCAGCCTCTCTAACAAATGGTGATGAGAAAACTGAATAGCTACAAGTAGACAATTGATACAAGACCCTCATCTTTCAACTACAAAAGTCAATCCAAATGGATCAAGGGCCTCCGTTTAAGATTTCCAAACTTAAAACTCTTAGAAAAAAAACAGCCAAAGTCATAGGCCCAATTCACTGGCTGAATAGGACTCCAGTCTCACAGCAAATAACAGCAAGAATCAATAAATGTGACCACATCAAATTAAAGACCTTCTGCTCAGCAGAAGAAACAATCAACAGAGTGAAGGGACAGCCTATAGAATGGAGACAATCTTTGCAGGATGAGGTTCTAACAGAGGATCAATATTAAGAATATCAGGAAGACTCAAAACATTTAACATCAAACACAGACACAAACACAAACCTAAAAAACAGAATCCAAGCAGCCCAAACACTAATCAAAAAAAGAATTGAGAGACTCCTCTCAAAAGAAGTACAACTTGGCATGATGGTGCACATCATGTAATCACAGCTCTCAGGAGGCTGAAACAAGAGGATTGTAAGTTCAATCCTAGCCCGTGCAACTAAGCAAAGTAAAAATTTTAAAACAGTCCTGAAGTTGCTCAGTGCAAAGTCCCTGTGTTCAATACCTGATATCACTGAGTAAATAAATAAATAAATAAATAATTGATTGGCTTATGTAGACTTGACAAGTTGGAGGTTGAGTTGAGGAACAGGCTAGACAAGGGCTCAGAGAAGCCTAGGTAAATGTGGTTAAGAGAAAATCTTTGTAACCAGTAAAGAATTTTGTAGAGGAGTAGAAACCAGCAGGAAATCACAACCTCTTCTTGACCTACACTTGAGACACCTGAGAAAGAACAACCTAGCAAAGAGGAGGAATAACCCCAGCAACCAAGACGGAGCACACAGGATAACTAACAATCTCTGAAGAACTAACAATCTCTGCCTACCAAGAAGGCAGTCTGGAAACTTAACTCAAAACACTTAATGACAAACAAATGTAGAAAAACAAACATAAAAACAAAACCTAACAGAAATCCACTAAGTGCTGGTGAGGATGCAGGAGAGCTGGGGGCACTTGTGCACCTCACTGCTGGTGGGAACATAAATCAGTACAGGCGCTGTGGAACTCAATATGTAGGTTCCTCAAAAAACTGAGATAGAGCTACCACTTGACCCAGCTATACCACTCCTTGGTAATACTCGAAGGACTTAAAATCAGCACACAAGGGTGAGTGAAAGAACAATGACTGTTTAAATTTTTTAAAAATGTAATACAGTAAGGGGCATATTACCAAAAATGATATGTCTGAATTAAAAGGGAGCCTATTGATTATTCTGAGGGGGTATTAATGGCAATGTGTTTTTTAGTGTAATAAATTCTTTTCTTTTTGGTTATTTGAGACAAGGCCCTGCTCTGTAGTTCAGGCTGGTTTTCAACTTATTATGTAGCCCAAGCTGGCCTCAAACTTGCAGTGACCTTCCTCCCTCAGCTTCCAGAGTGTGGGGATTCCACACATGTGCCACCATGCCCCCTTGTAATAAATTCTTAAAGGTAAAGTTCATTGTATTTTCTGATCACATCAGGTACTGTAGCTAGCGGCATACTCATTTTTATTGCTGCATTTCACAGTGGCTAATATGGAAATAGCCCAGGTGCCCATCAACAGATAAATGGATAAAGACAGCATGGCACAAATACACAAGAGGCTATTTCTCAGCCAAAACCTAGAATGAATTCACATCATTTGTATGAAACTGTATAAAAGTAGAGATTATCATGTTAATAAGCAGACTGATAAAATCAAATACAGCATTGCATGTTTGCTCTCATATGAAGATTCTGAGGAGAAAAAATAAAAAGAAAGAAAGAGAGAGAGAAAGAAAGAAAGGAAGGAAGGAAGGAAGGAAGGAAGGAAGGAAGGAAGGAAGGAAGGAAGGAAGAAAGAAAGAAAATAGAGATGAGGGAGAATAGTACAGAAAAGGAAGAGAATCCAGGGTCAGAGCAGGAAAGCTTGAAGGTCATAATTGGGGGGAAAGCATCAGAATTTGTTTTGTGGATGTACAAAAATGGCAAAGTGAAACCTGCTAGTGTGTGTAACTAATATGCAAGACTAAAAAAAAAAAAAATCCCCACAACAAAGTTTAAGCGACAGACCAGGTATAGGTGAGGAAGTTGAATACAGTTGCACGTAGTGATTTGCCTAAGCTACTCTGCTGGAAAGTTCAAGGTCATGGCTTATCCAAGGCCCTTCCCATTGCTCCTGCTCCAGCCTGTGGTTCCTGACCCACTCTCCAGATCCCAGCCAGCTTTGACCCAGCTATGCTGTCATGAAAGGTGAGGTATGGGAGCTCCAGGTAGGAGTCACCTAGTCACAGCCTCTCTACATCCACAGGCACCCATGGCACCGTCTATTTCTATGAGTTCCAGCATTCTCCCTCCTTCTTCAAAAACACCAGGCCCTCCTATGTAAAGGCTGACCATGGCGATGAGGTTCCCTTTGTCTTCGGGTCTTCCTCCTGGGGCATGCCAGGTGAGTGTTCCCGGAAGTCCAAGCACAGGTGTAGAGCTCTGGTGACACACCTGAGGAGTGGTTGCCCTCACTGTCTAATAAGAAAACAGAGGCACAGAGAGGGAATGGGATCGGCATCCACAATGATAAAGCTCAAAAGCTTATGCTGGAACTAGAATCCAAGTTCTTCCACTCCAACCTGTGTTCTTTCTTCCAACTGTCCCCACCCAGCCATGGCCAGCAGGGTACACAGTGGAGATGTCTCAAAGATATACGTGTTTCTTGAATGACTTCCCAGTGTGAGAAGAAAGACGGGGACTCCTGGGACAGGAATGATCCCAGGATCAATGCAGCTAGATGTCGGGATGAGGAATGAACATTAGGCTGGTGGAGGGCCTGCTGCAGGCTATGTGGGGTAGGTGGGGTCCTGCTTTGGGTAACAGAGTCAGAATGGTGAGTGTGGTACATGAAGAGCAGCAGACTGAGGCTCAACCAGGACCTAGTTCCCTGTCCTCTTCCTGTCTGCAGTTAACTTCACTGAGGAGGAGAAGCTGCTGAACAGGAGGATGATGAAGTATTGGGCCAACTTTGCCAGAAATGGGTGAGATGATATCCCTTTTGCAAACTCCCCAGAGGACTTGAACCTATCAGGGGCTTCTCACTTCTGGTTGACCTCATTAGTATATATTGTCTTAAATTACATGGCAATAGCCCCCCAATGACAGGACTTATAAGAACCTAGTGAGGGGCCTTGTCAATACATATCACTTAATCCTGTCTCACCTACCTGGAAGGTGGGCCACAGTGATGTGGTTCAGTCACACCATGCCTCTGAGGGAGTGAGTTGACCTGCTCCCATGAAAGGGACACTAATGGAAGGTCCTTTCTTTCCTCTATCTGGAATCCTCCTTATCAGTGATCCCCTTGGCCTACTTGGCTGCCTGGTCTAACACCAGTCAGAGCACTAAGGTCTGAGCTGTGCAGGGTTCAGACTGACCTCTCCTCATGTTGGGATGATGTGTCCACAGAGATCCCAATGGTCAGGACCTGCCCTACTGGCCTCCATTGGACCTTGAAGAGCAGTACCTGCAGCTGAACATCCCGCCTTCTGTGGGTCAAGCTCTGAAGGCCTCTAGGCTGAAGTTCTGGACAGAGACACTGCCTCGCCAGTTGGGTGCTGCCCAGGAGAATCAAGCAGGCCCTCGGTGGTCTTTACACGTAAGCCTGCTATTATTTGCACTGAGTCTGCACACACTGTGAGGGCCACGGCTGCAGGATCTGCATGATCACTGTGGATCTGCAAAGAGGTTGAGCTTTGAGATATTTCATCCACATGGGATTGGGGTTTAGAAGAGCCACACGTGTCTAGCAAAAATGACTCCTGTGTCCTGTCTCTCTGAGAGTCTTGCCATCTGGGGAGGTGCTGCCTTGCATTTCAGAATTATCTTGCATTTCAGAATTATCTTGCATTTCAGAATTGTCTTGCATTCTCCTGACTCCCTGATGATCCCTGACCCTTCTCTGTCATCCTGTGATTAAGTTTCCTTCTCACTTCATTGTTGTCCCTGAACTTCGTTTGGCCCCTCCAATAAAAATCTATCATATATTTTTGTCTTCTTGTACACAGAAGCCATACTGTGGTCTGTTTACTTCTCTGTTCCACAAAGTATTTTCTCTGGGTCATTAAAACACTTGTCCCAGCCCTGGGAACCCTATCTTTCCACTTCCCCTATCTCTGACCCACTTCCTTCCAAGGGCACTGATTTTGCAGGGAGAAAGTCTTTCCATTATGTCAGTACTGTCCTAGGTAAAAGCTGAGGATGCCTGTATTACCCATGTGGGCGCCAGGTGGCAGCAAAAAGAACATTATTCTGTGGAAGCACTAGGCAGAGAGAAGAGTTGTTCCTTCAATACCCCTTGACTGAGGAAGAATACTTCCAGTGTGTCCTAAAAAGGCTGTTGGGCGCTTGTTACCAACACACTCTATGGTTTTCAGTTTCGTGGGTGCACACGAAAGTCCGCCAAAGTAAGCTTTTTTGGTGCTTCTTATACTTTAGTGCTTATTTTAAGAGCTTTATTATGAAATAATTTATGTGCAATTAAGTTGACACATTTTAGCTGCATAGTTTTCTAGATGTGAATATATATGAGAACTTCAACCACCAGCACATCACATTAAAAATGTATTCTCATTGCAAAAATTTTCCTCACGCCCCTGTACAGTCATCCCTGCTCTCCACCTTGCTCCCTGGCAACTTCCTAGCTGCTTTTCCTTGCTGTATGTTGCTCTTTGTGTAATATTGTATAACAGGAGTCCTTTGTGACTGGCTCTGTCATTTGGCATACATCTTAAGATTCAAGCTGTACTTTTCTCCTTTTATTGTGGGTGGCATTTCATTTAAGGAAACACCACACGTGTCCACTCCTACAATTATTCAATCATTTCACATTCCCACCAACCACCCATGACAGGGCCAGTTGCACCACATTCTCACCATGACTTGGACTTCAGTCATAATTTTGATTCTATTCAGTGGATGTATAGTGATATCACATTGCTAACGTTTCCCTGGATTTTCTTTGCCTCTGCTCCCACCTCCTTCTATTTTTCTCTTTATCTCTCATTGTATCTCTTTTTCTGTACCACTATATATATGCAAATTTTCAACACTCACCCGTCCAATTCTCCTGAGACCTTTCTTCATTCTACATTTTTACTATTACCTTGAACATTGCCATGTTAAGGTGATGCTCTAGAGGGGAAGCATATCAGGATAGTAGTTGTGGACAGCAGTCCTGCAGTGAGGAAACAGCATCCCATTGCCATCTAACATCTAGGATTTTGGACCATGATCTTAAGCGGGAAAAGCTGTAACTTTGTCAATATCCACAGCCCAGCAATTCTTTAGGTAAGACACTCAAGGGCATAGAGGGCATCTGGCCATCCAAGGGGCTGAGACTAATGGCTTGGAGAAGCAGGAATTGGATGGGGAATGTTTCATCAATAACTAGCCTGTTTGATTGAGTAGAGGTCACAAAGTGCTGACCCCTGCTGTGCACTGACTACTCCAACTAATCAAGAATAGGGTACCACCTAGAAAGTGCCAACATGGGTTGCTTGGGACACTGACCTTGGTGAGCCCAAGCTCACTGGAGGCTGAACAGATAGGCTATGGCTGCTTGTCAGTGGGCACGAGAGACTGCCTGAGGTTGAGCCCAAATCACTTCCTCTGGGATATCAGGCTACTACCTCCTCTGTATTAGTTGTATTCTGGGAGGGTTTTCTGATTCAGAATGTCCTAGATGAGTATCTTGCTGCAGGAGATACTATAGTTCTGGTAGAGCCCTATGGACTCCACAGCATCAGAATCAAAAAGTTGTGTTGAATGATTGTCAAATGGATAAAGGAGATTATACCGTATGTTTTGGGATAGGACCATGGGGAATAGAAGAGTATATCCTTAGGATTTTCAGTTTCCAGTGTGTTTCCATGAAACAGTCATAGTAAAATAGGGAGACCCATAAAATCGCTAAGATCAGGACTCTAAGGGCATAAGGGACCTGAAAATGAACCAGTCAATGATGAGTTCAGCAAGCAAGAGGACTTATCAGTTTGTTGCAGTTATAGTACACCCTGAATTTGCTCAGTCTGTCCCCTCTAGCTGCATCAGAGTTAAATCCAATTTTCCATCTATACAGATCCTTCTTGCTAAATATTAGATTTAGAGTGTCCCCTGAAAGACTCATGTGTTTGGATGATTGGATCATGGTGGTGCTAGAGGTGATTTGCTGTTGGGATGTGGCTTGAGGTCAGGGGAGGTGAGTCCCTGGGGGCGCTGAAGTGTGTATCCCTCTCCCAGGATACTCCCTTCTCTTTCTGGCTTTGGCCCCCATTACATGGGCAGTTTTTCTCTACCCTAGATCTTCCACCAGTATATTTCTGCACTGGAGCCACCTGTACATGGGCCAAAACTTCTGAAAGTGTGTGCTAAAATAAACATTTGTTCCTCTGTTTGTGAGTGTCAGTTATTGTGACTCATTAAATGACTGAAACACTCCTTCTACACCTCCTCAGGGAGCCCTCCCCTTTTCTCCTCTTACAACTTTTAGCTCCCTCCTCTTCATCTCCTACAATCTCTATGGACCTGCCAATGGAAATTCAGTGTTCAGAGCAACTCCTGATTTAAGAGACGGTTATGGTATCACACAGGGCCTATGGAAGTCACTATGCCAACTGACATGGTCAGGTACTACTGGTGAAAAACAAGTGTATATTTTTATAACCACAGACTGGTAGAGATGAGGTTCCCTGAGTCTGGCCTTTAGATAAGGAACATCTCACTATTCTTCTGTTAGAAATTAAAATCCCTTCATCAACACAGCACCTGTGGGGGTGATGCTCCCTGTGCAAAGCTGAATGGGCACAGTGGTTCCCACAGAAGCTGCTAAGACTGAGAATTTCTCATTTTCAGAAAGAATGAGATCCAAGGCCCTCAACAAACTAAGGCCCTTCTGGAAGTCTGTGCTTCATTCCACTTTCCCCAGAGCCTGTGGCCTGTGCCTTGGTGGGCAGGGACTTAATGGAAGGATCAGGCACAAACAGGGCATCCACTGACAGTAAGGACTGAGAGTGGCTGAGCAAATCTGAATCCAAGGTCTTGATTTGACCACAGCACAGACCCCAGAATAATCTATGATCTCAAGGTGCCTGCAAAATGCAGATGAAATGAATGCAGAGGGTCTGGAACTTTTGATTTTGACCCTTCCTCTAATCCCCACATCAAGGACTGCTTGTACCTGAGCCCCTGCACTCCTGTGCATGCCAATGATGGCTCTAACCTGTCCCTGAGCATCAAACCAAGGTCAGCTGAGGTTGGGAGGAAATTTGTTTTGCAAGAAGGTTAGGATTGATCTGGAGATATGCCCCAGGGGTAGAACAATTGCCCGTGATGTGTAAGGCAGTGGATTTAAGTTTAGCACTGAGGGGGAGAGGAGAGAGAGAGAGGCAGAGGAGACAGAAGAGAGAAGAGACAAGAGAGGAAAGAGGAATAGAATGAGGAGGAGGTGGAGGAGAAAGAGAAGAAGCTCACACTGCAGGCTCCTTGTGCTGGAGTCTGCCTAGTCCACCCCTCTCCCATCTAGATGTTGCCTGATTGAGTTTGGTGACCTGTTGTTGGAGAGCACCCAGGAAACCATCAAGAACGCAGACTCTCAAAGCCCAGTTTTAGGAGGTGTTGGGAGACTTCGTGTTCATGGTCACTGCACTCCAGGTAGCACTTTTGCAGCATGAGTACATCTGCAACTGTGGTCTGACTCCCTGGGGAGCAGCTCAGAGCTGTGGATCCAAGGTAAGGTATGGGGTACCCAGGTCCACAACCATGTCTTTGTTGGGTCTGTGGTGCCAGGCATTTCTTGTCCCTTTTTTCAGTAAATTCTCATGGCTAGTGGAAGAAATACATCTCCCCCATTCCACAGGGGGTGGGCCAGCAACCTACGCCCTCACTGGGACTGCTGGAGTCTCTCCACATTAGTCTCAGGCAGATCTGGATCTCCTCTGGGATTTCCAAGTCAGCAGGAGCCTTCAACTGGTGTCTGGATCCAGTCCCCTGCATACCGGAATACACATTAGGTAACCAGCATTGTTCTCCAGTCCACAGGAATCCATTACAGCAGCCTCAGGAGCTAAGGTCCCACATTTTCCTTGGGCCAATACCCCAGCTTGAATGGCTGCCATAAATAGGATTTTGGAGAGAGTTCCCCTGAACTGAGTAACCTTCATACAAACTTACAGACTATAATAAGGAGGGGTAAAAAGGAATGTGACTTGTAAGATTAAAGAGTACTGGCTGTGGGAGAAAACACTCTTCTGGCAATATATAAGAATTTTTGTCCTTTTTTCTGCCTCAGTTTTTTCTTTACCATTTAATTAATGCTTTTTTCCTCCTGTATTTGTTCATTTTATTTTATGTTATTCTTATTTGATGGAGGTTGGAGTTTTACCACATATGTTCTAGTCCCCTTTTTAAAAAATATTTTGTTTTGTTTGTTTGAATAGGCCCTCCTTCTATTCTCCCTCTCTCCCTTCTTTTCTCACTTTCTTTTTTTCAAATTGTTCCCTTAGTAATATTCCTCTAGTTTAATCACCACTCCTTTTACTTATGCTTTTCCTAGTGGGTCTTCTCTGCTACCATTACCTAATATCATTACTTTTCTTCTATTCTTCTTTAACATGGCCTTTATATCAATCTTACCACATACTTCACATCTTCCATTGCTTTATTTTTCATAATCTGTTTATTTTCTCTTATTTTCCTCAGGTTTCCGTACTTACACCTTTTATCATTATGAATCTGTAGGTAGACAACTAT